TGAATTGATTTTGCAGTTGACTATTTTGTTATCATTGAGGGCCGGAGTTTTTTCTTGACTGTGGAGGCTTCTTTTCAAAATGGTGACCAATTCTCTAACTGTTGCAAATACATTTCCCCCAAATGAGTGTTGTCATTTTGGGTGTTGCTAGCTCAAATATTCGTAATCTTATTATAGGATCCAGGTACGGATAGCTCATCACATCACAAATGCATGTCTTCATGATTTCTCTGGTGTTTTTTTTGCTTCCATTTCAAGCTCAGCAGAGCTAGGATTTTATTGGCTCTGTGTCACTCAGTCTGTTTGGAATTCAGAGGATGAGAAGGTGTCAAAGGTGCATTCTCTTTTATGAATTCTTTGACCTCAAACCCAGCTGAAGTGCTAAATCTTTTGTTAATCCTTTTCCACATCCTGTAAGAAGTCACATTGCTCTCATTCCACATGTCTATCATACCACGATACATCCTCAACAGTCACATTTTATCAAAAATTAAGTGTCTGGTTTTCTAAGCCACCTAGGGCCTTATTGAAAACAAAAGATTTTATTTATGCAGAGTCTGTTATGTGTCAATTTCTGAGGGATATAGATGTGCTCACTCTGTTATTTCAGATGAGGAAATTAAGGAAGGAGTTTCCACAGTTACTAGATGAGGGAGTCTGGATGTGATGTCAGCTCTGATGTTGCTCCATCACCTGCTCTGCAGTTGGCATAATCTCTGTGCAGACCGAGGGTGGAGATCTAATTCAAATCCTTTAAACCAGAGCAGCACCTTAGAGCCACAGGTTCCAAATAAGATGCTCAGTTTTCTGTCTCTCCCTAATTCAAAGCCACTAATTTCTTATTTAAAGGATAATTCTTTTCAGAGACTTGTGACTTTCTTCCTCCTCTTTTAATCATTCATTATTTCTCTTGCTAAATATATATTTATGACACAGCTTGGGTGTCTGGCTTTGCTCTCTACACAATATGAAACAAAAGTCCATATCATCATGGAGCTTACATTTTCACTAAGATGATAAAACATAAAAGTATATGATGGTATGTACCTGTAGTCCAAGCTAATTGGGAGACTAAAGTATGAAGACTACATGGGCCCAAGAATTCAAGCCAGTCTTGCCTATAGACTGATCCCATCTCAAATAAGTAAAGGCACATAGATGACCTATACAGTGTATTACATGGTTGTAAATGCTAAGAGAAATGGAATGTAGAACAAAGTGAGGGGATGGGTGCATTACTCTTCCCAGTTGCTGTGATAAAGTACCCTGACACAAGCTCCTTTAGGTAGAAAGTGTTTATTTGAGTCAAGTTCCAGGTTACAGATCACTATGGAGAAGTCAAGGCAGCAGGAACTGGAAGCAGCTAGTCACCTTACATCCACAGTCAACACAGAAAGCAATGAACGAATGCATGCACGCTTGTACTCAGCTCACTCTCTTGTCTTTTATACAATCCAGACCCCAAACCTAGGGAATGGTACCACCTATTTTAGGCTGGATTTTCCACATCAATTAATATAATCAAGACAGTCTCCGACAGACATGCCCACAGGCCAACCTGATGTAGACAAACCCTCATTGAGACTCTCTCTAAAGTGATACTAGATTATGTCAAGTTGAGAATTAAAACTATCACAGTAGGGTATACAGTTCAGGACAGTATTAAATAAGGATGTCAAATTAAGGCTCCTAGGGAAACTGGGATTAAAATAAGACCCTAAAAGAAGAGTATTCTAGCTAGTTTCTGTCAATTGTAGACAAAATAAATATAACGTACGGCTTTCTTGGCCACATTTGGCAAAAACTAGTTGTATAATGCATCGAATGAGTGGGTATTGTGGTACATGCCTATAATCCCAGTACTTGGGAGATGGAAGCAAGAGACCAGGAGTGAAAGGCCAGCCTTGGCTTCATTGAGAGTTTTAGGCTATCCTGTACTGCATGAGACCCTGTCTGAAAACAAGATAACCATAGAACATACTCAGGAGATATTGGTTAAATGGATTAATGTGTGACTGAATGAACGAGGACAGATTCAATCTTATAAAACAGATGATTCTTCTACCTATAAATAAACTTGTATTTTGGATGTACACATAAGTTACACATTATATACCATGTTGAACTGAGTATCTAGAATATGGCCACATATGGTGGTGCATACCTGGCATTCCAGTACTTGGAAATCTGAGGCAGGAAAATCATGTATTCAGGTCTAGTCTGGATATCACAAAGCACCTGTCTCAAAGCACCAAAATAACATTAATAACAATATCTGAAATATATTTGATATTTATTAAATGTGAGTTTTTAAATATATTTATGTGTCATCAAAGTAAGGACACTTTTAGCTCTCTGCCCTCAGAGGCATTCTCTGGGTTAAAGAGAGATGTGCACTAAAAATATCTCATTTCACCTTGAGCAGAGTCAGTAGGTGTAAAGAAGTAGATAGACTTAATCTCAAAAAAAATATGTTACTCACTTCTTAGCTGATGTATTTATGTCCATAGTATTTGTAGCGATTTCATTGTCGTGGTACAATCTTCAACTTCAAATGTCAACTACATAGTTATTCTCTCTGTGGGAGTTCATCTTCTTTTGGTGGTGATGTACACCATAGCTCTTCTGGAACTAAGATTGTCTTTAGCATTTATTGCAGGTCTAATGGAAGTAATTCAGAGTTGCTAGATTTGTGTTTAACCTTTTTCTTTACAGCATTTGAAACAACCTCTGTTGTGTTATAAATGCAGTAGGTTACATGTAACTATTTGTAATTAATTACTGTAATTATTTTTTAACCGTGCTTGTATTCATTTATGCAGTGAAGTTATGGTTACAGTGTTGAACAAAATGAGCCAGTGTGTATTTTAAAGTTGACCTGATGTGCCAATTTAGGGGCCTTTAATTTATTCTTTGGTCATCTTTTACTTAAAAATATTCTTAAAGTCTTAACAAAGACAAATGTATTCATGGGTCTATGGGGTGGCAAAGCATCAATAAAGAATAATTACCCATTTCAGTAGGAAATTAGTTAACACTGATTTTAATTGCACTATCAATTTAAATCCATTTTCCATTTATTTTAACTGTTACAGTTAGTTTAGCAAAATCACTGCATTTTTAATACAATTCAGAGGTGTTACTTTATAATTTACTAAGTCATCACTTTGCCATTAATTGTTTGGGCTCTCTTAAGCTTACAGTGGTGTTTAGTAAATGAAAGGATGAAGAAACGGAGCTAATATTTGTTAAAATATTTTTATTATTATTGTTTGAAGTGTCAAAAATTTTATGACATCTTTATCGGGTACTCAACTCAGTGCATAGTTTTTATTTCATTTATTCTTTGAAAATTGTATGCATGTGTACAGTGTATCCTGATCCTCTCCAGCCCATACCACCCCCTGCAACTTCCCTAGGAACCCCCTCACATCTCCCTCCCAACTTCATGTACTCTTTTAATCATTATCTTTAATTAATTTATTTGTTAAGATTTTCATGAGTATTGTATTTGCATTATTTCCACCCTTCCTGCTTCTCTCATGTCCCCCATTTAACCCACTGAGTCCAATTAATGCTGCCCACAAGTCCACTGGTATGGCACCATCCACTGAAGCATGGGGAGTCTACAGGTGGCCACTCCTAAAGAAAAGTGTCTTTCCCTCCACCAGCAGCCATCCACAGCCAGAGGTGGGGCCTTGGAAGCCCCCTCCCCCCACCCATGCTGGATTTGTAAAATAATATTCTTATTTCTTGAGAATTTCATACAATATATTTTATCATATTCACAAACCCCCACATAGTCTCAGATCGTCCCTACCTCCCTACCCACCCAGCTTCATAACCTCTCTTTTTTTAAAGCCCATTTTGTCCAGTTTGTGTTGTCCAAATATTCTTTGGTTATGAGTCCATGGCCTGGAGCATGGTCCACATACTGGAATTTCTAATTGGCTTCATCTGTGCAGGTTTTAAGAAAGTTATAGAAATTCTGGCTTTAATTTCATGCCTTTGATTAATATCTATCTATAATTCTGAGTAAATTTGCATATTATGATTTCTAAATGAATATTTGCTATAAGTATTATACTAAATACATACCTATATTCTCAAAGGAATTTTTAGCTTCATATTCTTAAAAATTCTATCAATCATTTATCTAGAATAACTTTAATATTATTAAAACATCCTATTCTTATCATTCCATAGTTAAACAAAAATAAACATTTTGTAAGCCATAGTAGAATAACATTTATCTCTTGAAATAGAAAGGTTTGTGTTTAAAATGACTTTTCACTCTACCATTCGTTATAAAAGATCATAAAGTTCAAGCGTGTTCTGCTCATTCTTGACACTGTGCACAGTGGTGATTCACGTTTTTGTGCTACTAGCTTCACTATCAGTGAATAGCAGTAACTGTCTGGAACTTTAAAAAATGTAACAATGTGGCCAGAGAAGGAAACACATAAGGCAAGCATCTAGTATCTACTTTATGAAATTGCGACATAAAGGTCCAGGGTGTCCTCTCCCACAGTATGTATTGACTTTCTCATAGCTATATTTTTTATTCTACAATGTCAAGAGTATTGGAATGATTGTGGTGCTTCTGTTTTCTATGGTAGAGCAATAGTGACCTTGGGCTGTGTACCACTGGGACCGCACTGGTTTCTCCTGGCTCACTAGGGTCTCACCGTGCCTCTACCCTAATTGTTCTGATGAGTGATTACTCATCAGTTTCTCATTAGTTAAAAAACAGTAGCAGTTAGGAGCATAGTTATCAAATGAAAGAAAACTGAAATTCATATGTGGTTGACCAAAAGATGTTTGCTTTCATCCTCAAAAATCAGTAATCCTTCAGTATTTAGAGATCAAAATTGATTTCAGTAGAATCCTTGCTGTCATTTATTGTTCTTGGGAAAAACTTGAGGATCTTTTCACATTTTTTTAAAATTGAAAATGTGGATAATTTCACTTGCTTTCTATTTTCTGTTCCTCTCCCCTAGGTTTAGGCTTCAGTATTGCTGGAGGTGTGGGGAACCAGCACATTCCTGGAGACAACAGCATTTATGTAACGAAAATTATAGATGGCGGAGCTGCACAGAAAGATGGGAGGTTGCAAGTAGGAGACAGACTACTAATGGTAAGTGTGACTGAAACAAAACTTCATATAAATATAAAGTTCTTCCTTCCCACTGTGTGATCATCTTAGCTCAGGATACTGTAACAAAATACCATAGACTAGATGGCTTAAACAATAGAAATTTATTTTCTCAGAGTTGCAAGGACTGAAACATTGAGGATTGCAAGCTATTACATTTCTGCTGAGGGTGCACCTCCTGGCTTGTAGATGGCGCCCTTCTGTCTGCCTTCTCACAAGTCCTTTTCAACATGTTGCTATTGACACAGAGAGGGATTCCTTTCTCTTCTCCTTCTTGGCTGTCAGTACCATCAGATTAGAGCTCCACTTTTAACTTATTTAATCTTCAGTATATGTTCAGCAATAAAAATCTGTAAGCAGCATCGTAGTGGAAGGAGAGGGGAGCTTCAGAGAAAGAATGAGAAAGTCCAGGGTGTCAAGGGAAGCATGTTCAGACTTGTAGCCAATATCTGAAAGAAAAAGATAAGCTTTTCTTATTTAAGCCTGAGTTATGCCTAGTTAAGCCTGAGCAGCGGGCTTAACAGTGCTATAAGGTGGAGGCTCTGTAAGTGGCTGTATTGCGGGAGGGACTCTGGGTAAGGATAATTCCATTATCTCATTAAGGAGATAATTATTCCCTTGTCTCTTTAGCATGTCCTAAGTGAATTAATTTTCTAGAGGAGGCTCACCTGCCCAGGTAATTGACAGAGCCAGCTGGACTAAATCTTAAAGGAGGAGACAATAGTATGTAATGTTTTCATTTTGGGAGCAGATTAGAATGTCATAGCCACTCCTTTAACAGGAGGAAGATTTCTTTCAATGGGCCTCAACAAAGCCCTGAAATCTCCAACTTTTAGGATAGTAATTTAAATATTAATGGAGCAGTAATAGTGCTTCCCTTTCTAGAGCTAACAGGGAAACTCAGAAATGGGGCCCAATGCCCACTATGAGAGAGGGAGTCCATCTGAACTGCTTTCAAGCAGGATAATGCCTGTCTGACAAAATTAATATAACCTGTGTCTATAAGGAACCATTATGTCTACCCCTTATAAAATGTGTTAGAGGAGAGTGATGTATAAAACTCAACAAAAAGTTGATTTCCACAAATATACAAGTTTTGTAGGTAAAGCCTCAACATTTTTTTAGTTAAACCTACTTCTCTAGACTCTAGGAAGACTGTGTTTAATCCCTGTGGTCTAATTTCATAGTTACAAAAGTAACTTTATCTTGGTAGCTAACATAAGTTTGAAATTAACTGTTTTTCATAATAAACTTCTTGAAGTGCTTCTTTGTAAGATAACATGTTTCTCACTCAGCACATGTCAAATAAGCAAACGAAGCAAGTCTAGAGACATTTACTACTTAACCTGTAGTTAATAAAGGGCAGAGCTGGCTTCCAGTTGAGGCAATCTGGCTTCCATCAATACTGTTTCCTGTACGTGCTGATGGCATTAGTTTCCTTGACTTTGACATCAGTTCTTTCCTTCTTTCTTTGCACTTGCACACAACTCAGCTATTCTTCAATTCCTTTAACACATATCTCTTATCCACCTACCACGCCCCATGGGATAGCCATTCTTTGGGAAGGAACTCTGTCATGAGATATCATCTGGTCAAGCTGCATGGGCAAAAATCCATAAAATAATGACCTTCAGTCAAACTTGCCACTCAGAGTTTTGGGCTTCTTTACCTCTTAAAGTCACCACTGTTTTTATTCTTAAGAAACTATAAAACTTTTGTTTCCTTGAATGCTTTGAATTATAAAAACTGACTCTTATGATATTGCTTCTTCCAAACTAGAACAATTACTTTGTGGGCTTAAGACATAATCAACTTTTTCTCTGTAACATGAACTTCATTTCTTGAGAATAAAATAAAGCCAGATAGAAGAGACCTCCCTTAGAGTAACAAGCATGCCATACAGCACTCATTGAAGAAGCTTCTTTTTGCAACAGATGGAGGCTACTGCAGAGGTGCACATCTGGTCAGGCACAGAGAACATACACCTGGGAGATGCCCAGGACTAGACACATCTGCAGTCAAATCTCTACAACTAAGGCTCATGGAGCATAACAGAATAAAGGGTAGAGAGAGGACTAATGCACCTCTCAACTCTCACCAGTGAGGCTTCCATGTACATCAGAGTACAATGCACACGGAAGGCCACAACTGGCCAAGTTTTGGAGAATAAGAGACTAGAGTGTAGGGTGGGACTCCTATATGAACCTCACCCACCCACGGCTCAGGGACCATTGTCGAAGAGGAGGGAAAAAGATTGTAAGAGCCAGGGTTGATTCATGAGCACAGGGAGGTGGAGGCCTCCAGGCCACTGGACACGTATTCATGTGAGCCCGTGGCAGCAGTGGCATCATGAATGGGACCCATGTCAGTTCAATTAAATAAGGCCCAAAGGGGAGGTGAGACTATATGAACCTCACCCACCCACGGCTCAGGGACCATTGTCAAAGAGGAGGGAAAAAGATTGTAAGAGCCAGGGTTGATTCATGGGAGGTGGAGGCCTCCAGGCCACTGGACACGTATTCACGTGAGCCCGTGGCAGCAGTGGCATCGTGAATGGGACCCATGTCAGTTCAATTAAATAAGGCCCAAAGGGGAGGTGAGAAATAGGTGACAGGCCAGCACTAGATTGAAAACTATTTGAGACTGATCACCGCTGGGTGAAGGAGAGTATGACTTACATACGACCACTGGATGGGCTGACTAGACTCCAGTGGACACATTTACACTGAAGGACATTTGGGTACAAACACCTGAATGAATAGGACTCAGCATGTATGGCAGAGTGCATAGGGTTCAGTGGGGGGGATAGGGGGAGACATGTATAGGGAAGGGGTCTGGATTTGAGTGGAAAATATTGTATGAAATTTAAAACACTCAATTAAAAAATAGTAAACTTCAAAAAAAAGTGAGGAGGCAAGTTTCATTTTCAAGTAATTGTTACAGGAATTGAGGGGAACCCATTCATGGCTTCCAAATGATACTAGAGAAATCAGAGCCCCCTCCTGAGATCCTTAGATTCATTAATAAAAGAATTTAAGGGGCTGGAGAGATGGCTCAAAGGTTAAGAACACTGGCTGTTGTTGCAAAAGACCCGGGTTCGAATCCCAGCACCCACATGGCAGCTAACAACTGTCTGAAACTCCAGTTCCAGCAGATCCAACGGCCTCTTCTGTCCTCTGCGGGCATTGCATGACACGGGCGCACTTATGTACATGCAGGCAATACACACATACACATAAAATGAAAATAAAAAAATAATATGAATAAATAAATACAGTTTCAGTAGAGTTTAAAAGAAAAACGCCCCAGGACAAGCAAGTTGTAAATCTCAGCAGAGGAAGAGAGAAGGAGAAAAAATCCCATTTATGCCTGCATGGAGGTCAGACAAGTGGCAGACAAGTAGTCACTTGATGGGAGGGGAGCTTTAGAGAAAGAATAAAGAAGCCCAAAGTGTTAGGGAAAGCATGCTTAGAAAAGACATAGAAGAAAAAGAAAAGTTATGCTTTTCTGGATAATTAAGTAAAGTGGGCAGACTTACAAAATTGTATAGGTATGGTCTTGTAAGCTACTGCCCAAGGGAGTAGAATTCTGGGAAGGAAAAGCACAATATCTCACTAAAAGGCTAATTATTCCTCCTTCTCTTTCTTTGACTCGATGTAAGGTAAGCCTGGCTTCTTAAGTGTAGTCCCTTGGCCGGGTGATTGACCTGGTCCAACTGGAATGATATGTCTCTACCCACACCAGAGATTCTAGTCTCATGATCAGGAGTTTTCTCTTAATGAGCCTTTATTGCTACTCTACCCTAACTGACTTTGAGTAGTGGGTAGCTTCACCTTTGATACCTGTTCTGTGAGAGTTTAAGTATAGCAGTTCTTCCAGCAATTCTTCAACTACTGCTATTGAAACACGGTAGGTGTATGTGTTGATTTCTTGAAGCTGTGTTTATATGTGTAGATTTATTTTCAAATTCAGAAAAAATTCTTCATCCAAATAATAATTCTCCAAAGGATTTTTCAGGCACTATGATATTTTTCCATAAGTGTTTTATGTACCCATTGTAGGTATAATGATTTCAAAAATAGTCGTGACATAATTCTTAACTGTTTTAAGTTTTAAGACATAGTGTTTTCTAAATGAAGCTTCAACAATAATAGGTCTCTTTTCTCCTATATAAGGAAAAACATAATGAATATTTCCAAGGCCCCTGGCAAGCTGAATCTTGAAATGAAAGAAAATGACTCACTCTAAAATAATCTGAAATAAAAATGACTCAGAAAGCAAATAGAATAAATGAATAACCACTAAAAGACTGTCTGTGAAGCTACCGCGAAGACAATGATCTTACTTCAGCCCCAAAATACCTGTTGATCTTCTCCTTCTGCCACTCTGGTCTGGCCCCTCTTCCCTACATTCCGAGCCTCTGTTTCTTCTGTTTGTCTACTCATCTGCCCCCAAAGGAAGTACAGATTATTTAGAGTCTATGACTTACCAGCTGGACTGCACTGCGTATTTTCTCTATGCTGTTCTTCCTAAAGAAATTTGCACCACTCACTTTTTTCTCTCAGTTTTCAGGAAAAATTCCCCCAGTATATTCACTTAGAGTTCTCTGAGTATAATGACCTAAAATGGAACCCCAGGCCTGGGGTTTGACTCATGCTTGCTCTACACGTGCAATGCCCCAGATTCAATCCCTAGGATGGCAAAAGATAAAAATTTAATTAAACTCTATTTTCTTAGACTTTTGTGGCTAGATATCTACAAATTCTGGGAGGTCTCCAGGTACCTCCGCTATATGAGAGGGCAGTATTTGGGGGGAGGGATTAGGGTGGGATGAGGATAGAAGTAAGGGGTGATCTTAGTAATCACCCATTCAGTTTCACAAATATAATAGCTCTCTTATTGGACACCACCTGATTCATACCATGTATAGTCTACATTCTTTTGGCCAGTGTTATAGTTTGTTTCTCCATTGCTGACCAATA